CGGTGGACAGCCCCGACGACTCCACGCTCAGCGAGAGCGCAAATCAAGCCTTCCTGGTGAGTGCCTACTGTCGTAGCTCTCAGCAAACTGCAACTCTTTCTGTGTTTCTGTCTGCGTTTGCAGATTTTTGACTAATTTAATAACAAATCGTGTATTGAATAATCCCTATTGAAAGCATCATTTTGGATTGAGCATCTGAAGACGGAGGGTGTTTAATAGAACATTGGGTTTTACCCTTGCCCCTTACTATTTCTGTTTTGTCAGCAAACAATCATAAAAACAGAACTCTGGACGTTGTTTATTATTTTCTTTCCAACAGTTATGTCTTACGAGAATCTGTTAATGCGTGCCATCTGGTGAAGTCCTGTTAGCTTTCCTGGAAGCTTAACTCACTCTTCCACCACATTGCATGATACGGTTTACTCAGCGTTTCATTGCTCATCATCAGCTGTGGGTTGTTTTTTTGGAAAGATGTTCTTTGAAGAGGTGGACTCAGACCTCTCTCTGTTTTTGTCCCCCACCCCCTCCCCAGGGTTTCACGTACGTAGCTCCATCTGTGCTGGAACATGTCAAAGAGAAGTTCTCTTTCGAGCCAAAGGTGCGCTCGCCAAGGAAGTTCCCAGGAAGCCCCCGAACACCTGTGAGGTAACGGCGTTTGATCTTTCTGGTTCCATTGAATCTGTATTTTCAGACTTTACCAGCAGAAATTCTTTCTCACATTGATTACTCATTTTGTTGACTTTGTAAACGTAGCCAGCTTTATCCAAATAGAGCCCTCGTTCCTTTCCAAATACGCAGCAGTAAACAGTTTGTCCATAAGTAGGGATCGGCTTATTATATCTTCAGTTGAACTTTATTTAATGGGGTTTGTTTTAGAGAAGAAAACCTGCTTAGGGATGCGTTAGGATTTTATCAATACTACTACACTTGTCTAAACAGCTATTTAATATATGAAAAAAAGAGAATAACTTCAGGATTACCATTTATTTCACCTACAACTAAATGTTTGACCTCCATTTTTTTTTCTAGGTATGATTTCAAACGTCTATTACACAAACTCTTTTACAAAATATCTTTGAATTTTGATTAGAAAATAATAATTCACTACAGTATTATGAATCATATCGCAAATGCAGTATCACTTAAAAATAATCCCGTTAGTTATTTTGTTCTTAATCGTGCAGCCCTAACACAGATGGCTTGACCTCTAACCTTACATATAAGAGCTGCTGCACCACAGACCATGATTTCTCACGTCTTCCACAGTCCGTTGAAGTTTGTGGGAGGGGACTGCTGGCCCCGGGGCCCCCCGCTGAGCAGCCGCCCTGTGGAGCAGCCCATGGAGGAGTCAGCAGCGGAGCAGATGGACACGTGCAGCGGTGGCTCCTCCGAGGTGTCTGCGCCGCTTCCCATCAGGCAGCCTTCAGGCCTCAACGCAGGGCCGTACAAAAAGCAGACCTACCCCATGAACTCCAAACGGCCCGAGCACCTACGGATGAACCTATGACGCACGGCTCTCCTACGGACTTCCTCTTCCCTTTTGTTGATTTGTTCAAAGAGACTTGTAGAATTTCTTTTTTTAATTGACTGACACTGTCTGTGCTGATCACCAGCTCTTCCACTAGCGCCTTCCTGTCCTCCTGCCTCCGCCTGACGCAGGTCATCTACAGCAGTCGGGGAAGTTGTGTGAGAGTTGGCTGGGTAATGCCTGCTGAGTGCTGAGGGGGCGTTATCGTATGATTTACTGGTGCTCTTTTATCCTTAAGTCTGGACAAAGTTACTTTTAGTGTTAACGACTCATTGTCTCCAGAGAATTTAGTAAGAAGGGGCTTTTTTTTTCTTCATTAATAGGCTTCTTTTTTTTTTTTAGCAGTCCTCACTTGCAGGTTACACTATCTGTAGGTAGAGTAATCTTCGGATACCGATTCCTCACTGAACACACTTTTCCTTTTGTTTGAGGAAAACAATCACAATGCCTTTGCTCTGGAGCATGTGGTCAGGAGTAGGCGAAGCACGTATAACAGAAAAGCAGCTATAAAAAGACGAGTGAAATGGAAACATCACTTTCACCCCAATCAATACCAAATGCTGGCGCTGCTTTAGTCCTCTGACTGGAAAGCTTTCCGCTGAGGTCTGACCAGAAGCACTGTTCAGTTTCTGTTGTTTTGAATGTTAACAAACTCTAAATGCCTTTCTGCATTAATGTCCTGCCCTTAGCTCGAATGAGGCCTACAGAATTATGTTTTAATTTATCTATTCCGTCAGTTGGACCCAGAAATAGGCGAAGGAAAACTGATATCACCGAGTTTTATCGATTCAGGCAGTCTTCATGTTCATGTGCTCCGGGTGTTAAATGTTTGCTTTCTGTTAGGGCTGTACCGAATAGTACGAAGCATCGAAACAGCAACATTCAGTATCTTTTTGTATTTTTTATTCCATTCATCCTGTTTAAAAACAGTAGTTTTGCACATAAAGATTAGACTAAATTAATGTTATTAGTATTGTACCATTGGTAGATGCCAGTTGTGGCTGGGTCGGATGTATTTTTGACTGATCTAAACATTCCAAGTAACTACACAAGTCAAATATGTATAAAACATGTTGTCTAACAGTCATACATTGCATTTATATAACACAAATAGATTTCTGCCCAAACACTATTATACTAGATTACTTTAAAGGGTCATATTATGTAATTGCATTCGCTTGACACTCGTCTGTCGAAAAAATTGCTTCCTATCAACAACATTCGGTGCAGCCCTATTCTTTGGTGGTAGGGGGATTAACTCTGATTCAGGGAGCAGACCATCTATTAACCCCTGAGGTGTAATATCTGCTAGAGTAGAGCTTCTTGCTGTTCAAAGCTTCTCTGCAGATTCCCAAGAGGAAAAATTAGTGGATGAACACTGGCTTCAGTTTTTGAACGGCTCCCTGTGTTATCCAAATACTTTAGTGATTGACCAAAAGCACTGTTACAATGAACCAAATGATTTTGAAATGAGAACATCAAAGCTCAAACACTCATTGGATCAGATTTCTTTCCATGTTGATGCTCACAAAAGCAGTTTATTGTGTATTTGTATGAGAGTGTGTAACCTAGCTGAAGATAGCATAGATCCAGTTTCTAGATTGGGTCAGTCAGTGTCTATTGGTTTTTCTTCTTCTTTTACCAGTCACTCCACTTTTAACTCTACTAACCTCCTTTACTTGTGATATTTATTTTTAAGTGCCATTTTGTTTCCACTGCATTGTTCAAAACTATGCAAACTATGTATTTATTATGTAGTAGTATTTAGATAAGGTGATAATTGATTTGACTTCTGGCTTTATACTTTACCAATAAGCATGTAAAGTATGATTTTATTTCCACAGAACATGCTTAAAGCTGTTTTATTTTCATTCCTACATATAGGACAGTGACCTATTCCTATAAGTATTTATTGTATAATAGGGGGGACACAATGTCTTAAAACTTTCCTGCTGAAAACTTGAACTTTTTATTTTTGCAGTGCTTAAAGCAAGAAAAACACTGATGCAAAACCGAGGATGTTCATCTGAGTGGGATCGTTTCTGTGTGCGAGTAGATTGTATGAAAGAGTTTGGGAAATGAACAAGGATACACTGCGTCTGTGCAGGTATACCTGAGTGTCCTCCACACAGATGATGTAACTGCTTACTTCAGGTGGGAAACACATTTTGAATAAAATCACCAGTGGGAATTAAATAACATGTTGCTTGTTCTTCTCTAGATCTGCCCCTTAACATGGGGATTGATAAGTTGTAATATGTACATGAAGTCAAATAAAATAAATAGTCTGAGCCGTGGCAAGGTAGGTTTGTGTGCATGTGGTCTGCAAAAGCTAAAATCCCAAAGTTCCTTCCAAAGCGAGTTTCTCTCCCACACACTGCTAGAACTTAGTCTTTTATTAAATTCCTCGACATAGTAACTTCACTATGTAACACACGCTCCAACACATTGTACGTGATAAGGGGTGGGACATCTCTAAGCAGTTGACCAATCATGCACTAAATGACAATTGCTTTAGTTTAAAGTGTCAGCAAATGTTTAGTCTTTTTGCAACATAAGACAAGTCAAACATTTAAATTGTAGATCTTTATTCAGAATCATCTAAATGGATAAAATAACAACACAGTGAAATGATTTTTGTACATAATAAAATAGATGTTTCTCCCAGTCTTTGGTTTTTACAAAAACGAGGCTCTGTAGCCTCTATAGAAAAATAGTTTGTAAATAAATCTCAGTTGCATCCTTTTTATCATTTGTGGAAAAAATAATCACCAAACGCTGAAAGCAAAAGGCAAACTGTTTATCCATCACGTAAAGAAATGTTTAAGCCTGCCATGTATATTTTCAGTGTCAGGATGCAGGATGACATAGGTCACTCTCGGACCATGTGATGGACCGGGCTTCCTCAAAGCCTTCACAGTGCCGTAGGAGCTCAGAGATAAAGCAGAATTCAGCAGGCCCTCCTGAGCTGTTACAAATAACACGTCTGCCACTCATTCAGAAACAGAGGGTCCCATGTTTGTTCAAACGCGTTGTTGAGGAAAAAAGATCTTTAAAATACTTTATATATTTTTCTCTGTCGTATTTACAAGTAGAAGAAACTGCCAAAGTAGAATAATTTCCTGCTACAATAGGAACGATTATATTGAGATTTAAGGTGAATAAAAGCAACACAAAAGGAAACAACTTAAAGCTGGGGTAGGTAAGTTTGAGAAACCAGCTCGAGATACACTTTGTTATATTCCACGGAAGTGCTTTGACAAAAATAATCCATGAAAAAATGTCATCTGTGGAAGCCGTAGTACTGTAAAAAGCACGACCAATCATCTGAGCCGGCCCGGCTAAAGTAACTGGATGGCCTACCTGCCTGTCAGCCTTCCATCTGTGCACAAACTTATCCTGTGCCCTCATTGGTCATGTGCGCGCTCGTGTGTGTTGGAGGAGGGGCTCTGTAAAGAAGTGGCAGATTTTTTCCGGCTGTGTATGTGCACTCGAGCTGGTTTCTCCAAAATGATCTACCCCACCTTTAAAATACAAAATAAATCACTTAAGGGCATGACAATAATCAGCTCTGTCGTCTGTGAGAGTGAAGAATAGGGATGACTGGTGAATAAATCAGAAACATAACTGTAGGTGCAACTGGTGGCCCTTAGCCTGTTAAAGAAACAGTGTTAACTTCACTGGACAGAGGGGTATGGAGAAAAAAAAAATCACATTATAAATACAAGCCCAACACCCTAGATCCCCCCCACCTATACCTTAATACTTAATAAATCTGCAGGTGTGGAGATGTGGCTCCGTCCCTCCACTTGTAGACCTTCTCAGTGATGACGGTGCGGCACAGAGGGCAGCTCTTCTCCCGGTTGAACCACAGCGCGATGCAGTCATCACAGAAGATGTGCTGCACACAGAAACACACGTCAGCACGTCCTGCACTCATTATGCATGACTTAAGATACACAGCTGGTTCAGGAACACAGGATGGGATTAGAATCATTTCAAAAGAACAACATGGGTCCTTATTAGTGGTAATCACTTAAGAATGTCATTAATCATGATTTTTTTTCTTTCATCTGGAAGCTTTTTAAAACAGACTTTTCTGTTCTACACACAGGGGCGGGGGATATCTCCAGCGTCATTGTGTTATCTGTGTTTGCCATGTAACCACAGAATCTGCGCTGGAATTACAGGAGGAAGTCTGAGTCAATTCACTTTATTTTTTTAGAAGCGTTTAGGTGTCCAGATTAATATCGAGGTTTCAAATAGACAGCCTTAGTTATTATTAAAATGACCAATGTATAATTGTCTGATATAAGTTTATATTTTTTAAATAATTAGTTCCTAAGTAATGCTGCTCCTGCTCATTCATTATACATTTGTGATCTAAAGCACATGAGTTCCACAACTGCTGTAAAGTTTAAAAAAGTGAAGTAATAATAACATGAATAAAGACGAAGGATATACAGTATGTGACAGATGCCTAAAAGATATATATCTGTCTGTTTAAGCAGTAAAAGCTCATCAATAACTCCAATTTAACATTTTACAAGTATAATGCTAAATCCTGAGCAGAGGTATTACCTGACAGAGCAGCACCCGGGGGTCCCGGTACTCGCCCTGACAGATGGGACACACATCTCCGGCCTCGCTGCACTGACTCCTAGTGGCTGCTGTGCCTGTATGCTGAGACACAAAAACCCAACACCTCAACACAGCTGGTTACTCAATGTGACCTTTTAATATTTAACTAAGAGGATTCCCAACTGACCTCGCCATTTAGAAAGACCCTCACAGTTTTCAGTATGGACGTCCACTGTCCGTACAATCCTAAAAGCTAAAGTAGGGAGAAAAAATTATTTCAGTTCAGAAACATTAATAATAAAAACAAGTATATCTGGCTAGTTTCACGGATCACACCTTCATTATGAGGTAGAGCAAAGCCAGCAGGACTCCCAGTGTGAGGCCGGGGGTACCGTCCACCTCCTGGTAGGTGACCAGGTAGCGGAACCACAGCGGGACAGGAGCCGTGGCCTGGTGGGCCTGACCCAGCTCCTCGCTCAGCATCACCCACCGGCCCTGCAGACGCACACACGCTGAATAAGAACTTCTGAACAAGAGCCGCCATGTACAACATCTGCAACATCTGCGGGGCCACCGCTTGGTGTATACTATTATGCCTGCAATGGATGAGCTGATCAAATTGTACATTGCAATCAGATTCAAGGAAATACTGCTGATTTCTGCCCAGACTAATAATTGTATTATAAGCTAACAGACTTGGAAGATACATTGTTGTGAGGCAGTAGCTTTTGTCAATCAGGAACTGCAACTCAATTGAGACATCAATGTTTTATATTGGGGCAGCTCCTTACTAATGTGTATATGGATTCCCTGTTAGGTGTCCGTGGTGTGATTTGGTTCCTTCAAAAGACATCACTAAACCCCACAAGTTATTTATCTTGCAAATGTACGAATTGTATGACTGAATCTCAGATTTATTTCGGAAGTTTGTGACTTAATTCTCTGAGTTTTCTTCTCGCAATATCCCTTGTTTCCATTACTTATTATTAATTGTTTAACTGCATTGAGTTTAAAAAGCCCTTGTAGCCAAGACATAACATTTGAGTGGTATTTTTTTGAATTAACCAACAATCCAAGGGGCAATTCCAGAAAATATATTCCTCCCTGATTAAAAGGGGAGTGGCTAAACGAGCCACACCTGAGAGCTGGAGGAAGCCAATCAAGGTGATGAGTCACACCTGTGAGGTTAGGATGGCGGGCATCTCACTCAACTGCAGAAAGACAACAGGAATGGAAGTCTGACCCAGCTAATGAACCCAGTTATTTTGTGACCTTTTCTGATCATCCGGGCTCTCTTTTGACCATCACGGCCCGTCCACACAGCCACGTGCATTGAAAGCTTTACCATTCACTTTGAATGGGGTGACGTCACTTTTCGCCGAACTGCATTGTGGGAAGCAAAGCGGAGCTTTGCTGGTGTGGCTCGCTGCAAAAGTTGAGCAATGTTCAACTTTTGAAGCCTCGGCAAAACCGTCAGCCAATCAAATCATATGCCAGTACAAGCTCTAGCCAATCCCACGCACGTTCAGCAAATGTGTGGCCACAGCGCTTCAGCCAATTCGCGACCATGGCATGAGGGTTTTCTTTTATCTGGACGACCTCATAGTCATGGCCAGGTCCAGGGAATGGGCAATGTTTCACACAGCCCAATTGATCCTACACCTAACCAAGTTGGGATTTGCGGTCAATTGGAAGAAGAGCAGTCTGCTCTTCTTCCAATTGACCGCAAATCCCAACTTGGTTAGGTGTAGGATCAATTGGGCTGTGTGAAACATTGCCCATTCCCTGGACCTGGCCATGACTNGTGACGTCACTTTTCGCCGAACTGCATTGTGGGAAGCAGAGCTGAGCTTTCCTGGCGTTTCAGGCTGCAAAGGTTGAGCAATGTTCCGGCCCGTCCACACAGCGGCGTGCGTTGAAGCTTGCCGGCGGGCGTGTCTGAAACTCGACCAACAACCAATCACATGAATTTCCTTCCCCTGACACACAAGCAGCGGCTAGAGCTTGTACTGGCATATGATTCGATTGGCTGACGCTTCTGCCGAGGCTTCAAAAGTTGAACATTGCTCAACTTAGTTGAGCAATGTTCAACTTTTGAAGCCTCGGCAGAAGCGTCAGCCAATCGAATCATATGCCAGTACAAGCTCTAGCCGCTGCTTGTGTGTCAGGGGAANGGTTAATGAGTTGGAATGATGTGATGATGCATACTCATGTACAGTAGGTGGCGGTATGCACCTTTTAAGTTGTTTGCAATCCGCCAAAAGCAAGAGAAGAAGAAGAAGAAGAAGAAGAAGAAGAAGAAGAAGAAGAAGAAGAAGAACCATGTTCCAGTAGGTGGCGGCATTGCAGCATTCTACATCCGACACGCCGCAAAAACTTCAGAAGAAGAAGTTTGCGGACGTCGGCTGTCGTAAACAGCGTCAATATGTCAGAACGAGCAGCGTATGGCTTAGCCTGAAAGATAACAGCTTGGTTTTCCTTTTGGTTTATTTTGCTTTTGTTTCGTTTGGCGACTTGGACTTTATATTAAATGGAGACCAATAGCTTACTATGAAACTCCGGGATCAGAATGACAGGTGAGCTGAAGCTTTTAACAGTAGCCTGATGGAAACATCTGTTAGCTGCTAATGCTAACGGCACAGCAGGATACGGTCAGCTGTCTATTTATCTGTCTGTCACTACTTTTGGTTTGATTGTCTGTGAATTAATAATGTATAATTCTGCTGACGTTACTCAACTTTCAAAAACATTTAACTTATAGCCCTGGGGAGACGTTCAATGCAACACTGACTGCTAGCCAATGTAAGTTAGCAACTAAACTCTTGCTAACTTGATGATTACCACTTACACAAAATACTGACGTCTTCTTGTTTTAGTGTGTCAGCTTTTAGAAATTACACAACACATGTTAATTGGTACTGCTTCCACAGTTTAACCCTATTCCTATCATCACAAACTTAACCTATTTACACTTTAACCTAGTCGTTTTTGATCAGAGAGCCCTCTGTTCAAAGATAAATGCAGGAGCTTGCAGAAAAATCATTATGCTAAACATTAATATCTTAGATTAACTAACAACTGTGGAATTTATGAAGTATTATACAAGTTGTCAATACAGCAGTGATCTCAGTTAATGCCACACATTGTGACTGTTGCTATAAAAGTTCTTTTTTTTAATGTGTTAGGCCTGATTCCAGAAGAGCACTGAAACTGAGGTATTCCCCTGCTGTAATGCAGCCTAATTCAAGTGAAGGAAATGGTTTATCCCTGAACCTGCAGCCAGAGCCCACCAGGCCTCCAGCCCCCGGGGCGGCTGCTGCCAGCCCTGAGAGCAACGAGGTGAGGGTAAATATGACCAGCAAGCCGGGGGAGAGCGGTGGAGGCGCGTCATCCAGGAGATCCAGAGTCAACTCCCACAGCCACACACACTCTCAGCCGCACTCACACAACCGGGGGCCGCACCACTCCAATCCAGAGGCCGAGCTGGACCCGCCGGACTCTGATCTGGACTCAGGAGAACCCAGCTCCTCCTTTTCTGAGCTCCGGTGTCTCTTCCGCTGGCTTCAAAAGAGTCTTCCTTTTCTCGTCATCATTTGTGCTAAACTGGTCGTCCAACATGCTCTTGGTGAGTTCAAGGTTAAGGCTACTGTTGGTTACTTTTTTCAAAAATAACTTTGTCAGATTCACTATATCCTGGAAATATTATATTATACAGTTGAAGTGCAAAATGGCATCCTGTTCCTCCCTCTCCCACATTCCATTATGCCAAAGGGAAACAACCAATAATATCCAAGGAGTTTCCTGTGAACTGTCAAACTAGGCAGCACTGATCAAATATGAATCAAGATGCTCTTACTTTATTGCCTATTTCTCGCTTCAAAATGTTACGGTTTAGCTATGAAAAGAGGAGGTTTGGAGCAGAGAGGTTGCACTTGAATTTGGCTCAACATGACGGCCTCATTTTACAGCCTAATAGGCAAAACAGTCATAAAAACTTGATTCACATTTGATCAGCGCTGCGTAGATTGTCAGTTTGACTAGACTGACACCTCAGCTCTGAGTGGTTTTTATCATTCGGGTGAGGTTGCCATTAGAAACACTGGGCAGATGCAGAGAAACATGATCTTTTCCAGAGTTTATCCATCTCTGGCCCTACGGTCAGGATATAGTGGCAGTTTTTAGCAAACATGACAGTTATATTAAATAATATCACAAACTGTAAGGCATTATCGCAACTGTTGGCACAAAACAACATGCTAAACTATGTTCTCCATTTCACAGGGCTAGCAGTTGGGGTTGGCCTCTTCACAACTTTTCTATATGTGAATAAAAACATTCAAACTCAAGTATTTCTTCAGGTAAGTTCAGAACAGAAAAACACATTTTTTAATTCCTTATACATTTCTTTGTCAATACATCCATAACCATGTGTTTTCTATGTGTTCCCTCAGGATCGCCACTCCAAGCTGCAGTGTGTATGGCTGCTAGTGTTCCTGACCTCCTCCACCCTCCTGCTTTACTACACCTTTCTCAGTGAGACACTCCACTATTGGTAAGAGTGAATGCATCACTTCAAAATACTCAGATTGCTTTATTGTCCATTGGATTTGTATAAAATGGAAATGAGTAATGTAAAATGGACCGCACATTACGATACACACAATTATGCGTAAAAAAAACTTAACATGCCAAAGTTGGAGTAATAAAAGTGTGTGCATTGAACTGAAAGGATTTGACCTGAATGTCCTCCTCCCTCCAGCCTCATCTTCCTCAGCCCCACCATCGAGCCGCTGGGTTTCTGGGAGGTTCTGTGGACTGTCGGCATCACCAACTTCATAATAAAGTTTCTCTTTATGGGGATGAAGTGCCTTATCCTGCTGATGCCGTCCTCACTGGTGAACTATAAAACCCAGGTGAGTGCAGTGAAGGTTTTATCTCTAAAGTATTATCACTAAATGTGAGCACCAGATGGAAGAATATTTGATACATTTCTCTGTCAAAAATAAAAAAGGTAATTGAAATAAACAGATGGAGGGATAGCCCGGTGACCTAGCTATGGAAGGTACAAAAATAATCAATTTGTTATCATAGTGAAATGTCTATTTGAACCAAAATTCTAATCAATACATCACAAAACAGTTTAAATTGTGTAAGGAGGAAGAGAAAACTTAGCGGAGGGTCCAAGAAGGCCCGGGGAAGATCACAGGTGGTGTTGGAGAAGAGTTGTTTTACCCCACCAGCTCCTGGGTTCAGTGACGGCCCGTCCACACAGCAGCGTGCGTTGAAGCTTGCCGGCGGGCGTGTCTGAAACTCGACCAACAACCAATCACATCAATGTCCCTCCCCTGACACACAAGCAGCGGTTTGATTGACTAGAGCTTGTACTGGCATATGATTAGATTGGCTGACGCTTCTGCCGAGGCTTCAAAAGTTGAACATTGCTCAACTTTTGAAG